TACAGCAGCATCAGGAAACTGACAGTCATTTTCTTCATTCTGGCTCGGTGGGAACCTCTTGCATATTGTAGGTGCTTACTGAAATGCCCTTAAAAAGCTCATAGTTGGCCTGGTGTGGTGGCTCATGCCTGTAATCCCAGCACTTTGGGAGACTGAGGCAGGAATCGAACTCCTAAGGTCAGGAGTTTGACTCCTGGCCAACATGGCAAAACGCTGTCTCCATTAAAAACACAAAAATTAGCCAAACGTGATGGTGTATGCCTTTAATTCTAGCTACTCAAGAGGCTGAGGCAGGAGAATTGCTTGAACCCGGGAGGCAGAGGTTGCAGTGAGCTGAGATCAGGCCATTGCCCTCCAGTCTGGGTGATACAGCGAGACTGTCTCAAAAAAAAAAAAAAAAAAAAATGCTCACAATCTATGTCTGGGAGATGACACATTCACCAACAGTGATACAATCTAGTAGGTTAAGGTTGTGATAAAGTGGCACCCAGGAAGGTCAGGCACCCTGGCAGGGAGGTGTGTGTGTGGGTGTTCCTGGGAATACTTCTTGGAGCTTTTCTTGGCTGAGCCCTAAAGAGCAAGGAGGTATTAGCCAGGCAAAGAAGAGGACAGGACATTTTGTTAGAGAAAGCAGCACGCACAGAGGCATGAGACAGCAAGAATAGGCAGTCATTCTTGCCTTCCTAATTCCTGAGAAGGTCAGATAGCCACCTAGAGCATCGCTTCCCAAAAGGTGAGGTACATGTGGGTCATCTGGGGGGTTGTGCTAAAATGAAGAAGATCAGATTGAGAGTCAGCGAGTCTGGGGGCAGGCCCAGAGATCCTGCGTTGCTTAAACTGACAGGATGCTGATGGTGCTGGTCTGTTGACCACACTTTGAGGAGCAAGGCCTTAGCACACTAAAGTCTACGGCACTTCTGCCCATTTCTTATCTCATTTAAGCTTCTGCCCCTCAAGAGAGAGCAAGCCAGATTTGCAGCTGTGAAACCAGATTCTGAAAGAAGGGAGGTACTTTGCTCAAGGTCACACAGGCTCAGATGGTATAATTGATTTCAGAATCTGTTTTCTGACTTTGAATACACTGTTCCTTTTAATAACTCATCGTACAATTTCAGTATGACACAGAAATAAGGACTAGCTTTTGATTTTTGATCCAGTCTCAGGGTCTTTTTCTTTTAGTAGATGGTGTATATCACATTTCCACTTGTGGATCTAAAGTGTATGTTTATTATTTAGTAATAATAATGATCATTTATGCTATATGCAATGATATATTAATAAACCATTCAATAACTACTAACAATCATAATCATTAACAATCACTAATAATTAATAATCACTAAGAAATAAGTTAATTATAATTAAGCTGTCTCTCTTTGTAGTTCCTCCCAAAAAATGTGGCAGCAGTTTATTTGCTGTTTTCTTCAGGGGTCTGAGGGTGAACTGGGCTGTATCTGATTTCTTCCCCTAATCAGAGTTCTAGAAAACTGTCCAGTAGATCTTACATTTAGCTCAAGAAAAACATGCTACCAAGTTCTTGGCTAACTAGTTATCTCAGACAAGTACTGAATATTGAAAGGGAGCTAATAGGTTTTTGTTGTTGGGGATTGTATGAGATTTAAGCTATCGTCTAAGTCTAGCTTCAGTAACAGTAAAGATGTACCATTTTTTTAGAGACAGAGTCTCACTCTGTCACTCAGGCTGGAGTGCACTGGCATGATCTTGGTTCACTGCAACCTCTGTCTCCCGGGTTCAAGCAGTTCTTTGCCTCAGCCTCCTGAGTAGCTGGGATTGCAGGTGCCCACCACGCCTGGCTAATTTTTGTATTTTTAGTAGAGACAGGGTTTCACCATCATTGGCCAGGCTGGTCTTGAACTCTTGACCTTGTGATCCACCTGCCTCAGCCTCTCAAAGTACTGGTATTAGAGGTATGAGTCACCACACCTGGCCAGATGTACAGTTTTTTTAAGAAGAGGAGTGGTGGATGACCTCAGAAAGAGGGGGCAGAGACTCCAAAAAGAATGGGAAGATGATGGAGAGACATAAAGAGAGAAGGACAGTGTGCTCTTAAGGGCAGCTGGGCATGGGATGACCACAGCTGGCATGACCTTAGAGATGGCACAACTACAGCTGGTCACCAGAGGGAGGGGACAGATAGGTGTCTGAAAATAGCACTGGGAGAGGATTAAAAGAAGGAAGGGTGCAGGTGTGCTATTATAGAAATAGTTCTTAATTTTGGCAAAGCTAGTTTGAATGCAGAGTTACTTGCCCAGGAACCCACACAGGGCTGTTGATAGTAATGCAGAGAGTAATTCTGGAGCTTTGGGGCCCTTTGGCTTATCTGCAAGGACCTGTTGCCAGGGGACTTGTTAACGGGATTGCACCGCAAACGTCTGTTCCTTTCCCATGAAAAGGATGAAGCCAGGGGCCCCTGTGCACCACCAGGCTGCATGGAAGCACCATATTCATAGTGCCCCAAAGGCTTCCCATGGTCGAATGTAGGGCGGAGAACACCGGGGACTGAGAGAACATATTTTTTCACATAAATATTTATGTCAAACGAGCTCTGTTAAGAAGGTGGCAAAACAAGGCGTGAAAACACAATGAGACGGAGCAGCCTGACTTTCTGCAAATATTTATGAGACAGGAAAATGCTGAGAGAGAGAAATAGCCCGGGAAGGTTGGCAAAGGAGAGAGAAACGCCCAGGATGCCTCGAGCTGTGGGAAGCCTGTCTTAGAGCTAGGATGTGTAGAGGGCAGGGCTGGTCAAGTCATAACGCTGTTAGGGAGGGAAGAAGATTGACAGGTTTTCTCTGCCTTTTAAGTGCCTGTATGAGAGTCAGGTTGCTAAGCACATAGGGCTCCTCCAGAGGTCTTCACAGCCCATTTTACAGACGGCTAGGGGGAGAAAGAGATTTTTTTTTTTGTAGTGTGTATTTTTATTTATTTACTTATTTATTGCACTTTAAGTTCTGCGGTACGTGTGCAGATCTTGCAGGATTGTTGCATAGGTACACACGTGCCATGGTGGTTTGCTGTCTCCATTCCCCTGTCACCTACATCAGGCATTTCTCCCAATGTTATCCCTCTCCATATAAACAACCAACCCACGCTGTCCCTGTCCTAGCCCCCTACCCCCCAGTGGACCCCAGCGTGTGACGTTCCCCTCCCTGTGCTCATGTGTTCTCCTTGTTCAACACCCACTTATGAGTGAGAACATGAGATTGTTTCTCAAGGTAGTCAGCTGCCAAGGGAAAGAACTGGGATTCTGTTCATGTCAGCTTGTTTCCAGCCCCCTGCAGTCTTCCCATCACTATACAGCAGTTCCCTGGCCCAGTTCAGGGCTGGGCAGTAGTGTGAGAGACAGTTAAAATAACCTGCAGGCTGAGGTGGGAGTATTGCCTGAGCCCAGGAAGGGGAGGCTGCAGTGAGCTGTGATTGCACTCACCGAACCCCAGCTCGGGCCACGGGGAGATCCCCGTCTCAAAAAAATAAGTTAAATAAATAATTTGAGCTGGGTGTTGTGGCTCACACCCATAATCACGGCACTTTCGGAGGCTGAAGTGGGAGGATCGCTTGAACTCAGGAGTTCGATACCAACCTGGGCAACATAGTGGTCTCCCCTCTCTACAAAAAAATGAAAATTAGCTAGGCATGGTGGTGATTCCTGCCTGTGGTCCCAGCTTCTTGGGAGACTCAGGCAGAAGGATTACTTGGGCATGAGTGTTTGAGACTGTAGTGAGGTATGATCGTGCCACTGCACTTCAGCTTGGGTGACAGAGCAAGAACCCATCTCTAAAAGAATGATAATTTGTTTCTGCATTCTGTGCATTTCCTGTAATACTCATGTAGTACTTTTGTGGCTGAAAATATAAACATTAAAATATTAATTCAAAACTCGAATAAACAGTCTAATATACTAAGAATTATTTTTAATAGGCCTTTTTTGCCTAAGCAGTATCTGCTCTGCAAGCATCCATGCCAAACTGCATCAATGCTAATTTTGTGGGGATGGGGGCAGGGAAGGAGAATGGGCTACTTCAAAGCTTCATTTTGTCAGTTTTTGTTCATATTCTTTTTACAATGGACACTATGACATTAAACACCTGTACATACACGCATACACACACACACGGAACAGGCGTATA